AGTTCTTTGGTTTTAAAAATATTTGGTGGGGTATTGACAATCACTCTGGCACTCTCTTTTCTTTTTATTTATAGATATTATTTTTTGAAATATTAAAAATTGTCTCAGGTGACAACACTAAGTATTAATATCAAAAAAAATTCCACCAACCTTCAGACTATAAAGTATGATAGAAATTATATAGTCAAAAATATAAAGAATGAGTGTCAACTTTCTAAGTAATTAAGTACAATATTAGTATGATCTTAGAGCCCTAAGTTTTAATTTTTATTGGGAAAATAGAATAAAACTGATGTCTACAACTATAAATAAATACTTTACCTTTACATATGTATAGTTATTCCTTAAGCTTGTTGTGATAACATGTTTATTACATAACAATCTAGAATGGAAGGCCAATGGAAAAAGCTTTAATCAGAGCTCTTCCAGAGTCGTACATACCAATAAATCCAAAGAAGAATCCTAGAGATATGATAAAATAGTCAAGAGCTACTCCTTTGGAATCCAATCCTTCCCGTTTTAATTTCAGATGAAAATAACAAGGCCATATAAAACTTAACATTGTACCTGTAAAACTGCCTATAAAGCCCATTAAAATTGAAAAGTGTGGGATAAAGCATGCCATCAAAATTGTAAATACAACTACTCCTACCCTCCAAGCCAGGCCCCAGACCTTCAATTCGCCATCTACCGCCCAAATAGAATTAAATGGAGTTTTTGGTTTACCTGGAAAAACAAAAATAATAAAGTTCGTAAAATAATAATATAATTAAATACACTGCTCAACAATTGATAAGGATCATTATTATTATTTCAAATATTTTAAAAGTTTGTTGACGTCGTAGTATCTTTTCGTTCGTTATAGTCAGAAAATATACATATTTTTTTAAATACAAATAATCAATAGTAAAAAGAAATATTTTCACAAAAAAAAAACAATTTAATGTTTAGACAAAAAATAAACTTCTTACTATATTAAGCACACTCATAGAGTATACTTTCATAAGTGAAAATATTGTTCTGCAGCTTTCGGGTTCAAAACAATGTGTCAGACAGAAAACCGATATTTACCTATATTTACAAAACAATTTATTTGATAGTGATATATTGCCAATAATTGCTGATGGGACCAATCAAAAATGGAAGCAGAAAAGCAGAAGTTCAGTCGCGATCGAGATATATACACAACAAACATTTATGAAATTGGTGCCTGTCCAATATCAAATCTTCAGAATTCATATCCGAAATTGGACAGTATAATTTTATCACCCAGTAGACCGAATGAATTTATTTGTTATTAAATACACACACGTAGTTTATTAGGTTACATACGGATTTGGTCAATTATCAACAATATAATTTGGACATCAGTCAAAAGTGCTGACAAAGTTAAACAATTTACATAAATTAGACACACATATCACGCAAGGCCCGCGAATATATTGATCCAATTAAAACTTATATAAAACTAATATCTCTTGCCTAGAGAAGCATTCAATCAATATTCACTCAACAAACTTGATAGTCTTCAGCGATCAACTGCAACAGTCTCTACTCAAAGTAATCCCGGGTCAACACCCATAGTGCTCTATGGGTGTTGACCCATAGAGCACTATGGGTCAACACCCATACCCACACTTACTCTCTCATCAATAAACTCTGCTACTATTATTTGGTGTTTCCATTACAACTGAACGAACATCTCCACTGAGCCAACGAAGGGAATTTGTTCAGTGCCCTTTTAGGTCTCTTATATCTTGCAGTATATAAACATTTTGCTATGTTGTAAGGAAGAAGCAATTGAGTTCTATTGGAACATCAACAGTATTAAAAAATTTATTAAAAATCCTTTGTAAAAGGTATATATTAAGAACCCAAACGGGCTAAGTTAAACAGACAAAACGTTTTCGGAATCCATATTCCATCATCAGTGTCTAGAAGTACATGAATGTAGCCACTAAATATATGGGTAAAAACCCGTTAACAAATAATTAATTATATTTAGTTTACAAAATTTTTTATAATGATTTAAGATGTTAAAGTTACCGTTGGATTAGGTAACATCGCCATGTTACCTAATCCAAGATAGAGAGATAGATTAATGAAGAAAAAATCATGGATGACAGATGAAATCCTAAAACTAATGGGCGAGAGAAGAGAAGCCAAAAATGAATCAGACAAATATAAAACCAAAAATATATTAATAAGAACAAAAATCAGAGAAACAAAAAAAAACAAGGGAATTATGCGAAGAAATTGAGACTCTGTAGTCAAAATACGATAGTCACAATGTATATGGGAAAGTCAAATAACTCACAGATGGACACAGAAAGGCAGAAAGGAAATATAACTGATTCTAATGGAAACATCATCTTGGAAAAACAGAGTAAAATAAGAACGTGGAAAGAATATCTAAAAAAACTATTTGAAGACCAAAGATATAACACCTTTGAGCTAAAAGAAGAAGTAAATGATAGACCAAGAATATTACAGCAGCAAGTTTATTCCGCAATAACACAGTTAACAGATGGCAAAGCGGCAGGCCCTGATAATATACAAGCAGAACTACTCAAACTAATGGACAACGAATCAATAGCAATAAAAGCAAAGATATTCAACAACATATACAACTCTGGACAAATAACAACAAAATGGCTAAAATCTAAGTTTATTGTACTTCCAAAAAACCAGGAGCCAAAAAATACGAAGATTATCCGAAGAGGTCCAGAAGAAGAACATCTTGGTTAAAGAACCTCAGAATCTGGTTCAATACAACATCTGTACAGCTTTTCCGCGCTGTTGTAGATATGATGAAGATGGCCATGATGATCGCCAACATTCGTAACGCATAGGCACATCAAGAAGAAGAAATTATCTTGCATGTGTAAAAAAGGCAAGCCACCTTAATACAACAGACTTGTGGAAAACGGACGGGCCCAGGTATAGAGGTTTTCCGACTGATAATGAAAATCGCGAGATTCAGAAATTTACCAAGGTGAATGAGAACTGATGATATCAGTACAAGCATGATAGAGTTAGTTTGGATAAATTACGCCAATAAAAGATCTTATTACCAAGTGGAACGAAAATCAGAAAAAATGTTTCTCTCATTCACAATACGTAACCGTGGACGAAAAGTTGGAGACTTTTAAAGGAACAGTGCTCATTTCGTCAGTACGTACCCAGCAAACCCAATAGATACGGTATAAAAATATTTGCACTATCTTATGCGAAGTTATTACCAAATGCAGGACAATCATTCAATATTGCAGAAGATCGAGAAGCCTTCGCAATGGTGATCGCCAACGTCGGATAATTCTGATCTGGCACGCGAAGAAGAAGAAGAACATGTAAGTATACATTGGTAAAAACGAGGTGGGTGGTCCATATTATCTAGGCAGTAGTACCAAGGTAGTGACGGAACAGGCCTGTCAACATCTCTATGGGTCTAAGAGAAATGTTACCACCGACAATTGGTACACCAGCATTGATCTTGGTGTAAGCTTAAAGGAAAATGATCTAACTCTCTTGGGAACAATAAAAGTTAATAGAAGAGAAATTCCTACATATTTCTCTAACAATTAAGGATGATCTATTGGCTCTAGTACATTTGGGTTTGGTTCAAGAGAAACACTAGCGTCACATAAACAAAAAAAAACAAAAACGTTCTGTTATATTCCACTATGCACCATGGGGACGACGTTGATCCTGTAACTGGAAAACCGGAAATCATATTGACATATAACAGCACAATAAACAGTGTTGATACCGTAGATAAATTATGCGCACAATATGATGTGGCAAGCTGTATTAGAAGATTTTCTATGGTTGTTTTGTGCAGCTTTTTAAATGTTACAGCAATAAAATCGTTTGTTATTTACAATTGTAAAATTCCAAATTCCGCAAAGACTTGACGAGAACTTTTTTAGCATTTAGTCTTATGTACAACCACCAGAGGAATCGTAGCCAAAATGTCTACCCAAGACAATAAGCATTCGACTAAAGGAAATCTCTTATTTGGATGAAGATGTCGTGCCAGTTCAAAGAATTCCAGGATCAATTGGGAGGTGTGGTGACTGTGGATGGAAAAAGAATCGAAAAACGAAATATTTTTGTTCGATTTGTAAAAAGTACCTTTGTTTGAAACGTGTAAATCCAATTTGAAATGACTGTAACACTATTCCGGCTTAATTTTATTATGTTTTGTATGATAAGTCTTAGGGAAATAATGTTTGATTTTTGTTTAAGACAGTTCTTGAAGACTGATATGTGACGTTCTAATTTCAAATTCATTGTAATTTGTTTAGTAAAAATGAGAATGCATCAAACTATTACAAAAATTGTGGACTATTTTTTGTGTTACGTAAATAAACCTTTTAGATAAATAAAAGATGCCAATGATAATAAATTATTTTAAAAAAACTACAAAAAATAGTACAATAACAACAATTTTATTAAAATTTAAACAAAATGCATCCAGAGGACTATTGTAATCATTATTACAGATTACAAATAAATGGGATGTTAAATGCTTACCTCTAAAAAATGATCGTTCTAGCAATTCACAAGCTGCATAATACGGAAGTGGATAACTCAAAAGTGCTTTAATAACAAGGCAGATGTTAACAAGTCCTTTAAATCCAGCAGAAGGTAAGTTATTTGTTATAACTTGTTGAGTATCATTTTGAAACGTTAAAAAACATAAATATCCAAATAGTGATTTAAATACAGCAGCCCATACGTGAGACCAATCCAACATCCATTGAAACTTGCTCGGGTCTTCCATGTTACCTTCTAGTGTAGGGAGGAAAATTTGCGATGTATACGAAAAAACAATAACTCCGAGATTTATGGGGAAGTTTTCCCAGTCAACTGACCATTTAACTTTCCTCCAGCCCCAATCACCGATGTACAGAAGACAATATCCAAGGATGATGGCGTTAATGAGAATGTGGGACATTGTGCACCAAAAAGATAAAACACTTACGCTTTTTAGTGATTTAAGGAAACCTGTAATAAAAAAACGTTATTCTTATTAATAGTTTAGAGTACGCCACTGTATTATAATTTCCTTCATTATATTCACTTAACTTTATGCTTTATTAGATATGTTAAATTACAGATATTAAACCAAAGTAATTGAGCAATTTCTGCTTACCTAAAGGGATCAGAAAAATTCCAACGAGCATCATCCAAGATCGAGTATCTATATCCCCATCAGGAAAAGTCCCTATCATCAAGTCGCCACAAACAACCACGTACAGAATGCACGTCATAAGAAGTTCGATAATCTGGGCTATACTGACAATTTTACTACCATATTTTTTGCCAAAACACTCTTTTGCGATAGCCACGTACGAATCTCTAACTCTGATTTGCTTGCCTGTTTGTACGTCAAATTCATAAAGACATTCAACAAGTATTTTGCCGGTATAGCAACAAATGTATGCTACACCAATCATTGCTGCGATGGCCCAGTATCCACCTTTAAGAACGGCGAAAGGCAGAGATACGATGAACATACCCTGAAAATACAAAAAGTTGACATTACAATAAGCAAACATTTCATTTTACATCTGTTTTAAATAAATTAATTATAGCATTAATAATTAAAAGCGCAATACTGTTCAAGCAATATAAATGATTGTTAAAAGCATTGCAAGTGAAAATGTTAAAAGCATTGACAGAATGCCAAATACACATCGCTACACGATAATCAAATATATCTACCAAAATGCCACAGCTAGTGTTTGATTTTGGTAGATTATCTGAACACGAAAGAAATAAATTCTGTATAAAGCGAGGAGTACGGCAAGCTCAGTCATTTGAGATTTGCAGATGACATCGTCTTTATAGCCGATCGTATGGATGATGCAATAATAATGTTTGAAAAATTATATCATGTTTCCTTAGAGGTCGGACTAAAGATTAAGTGAACAAGACAAATCATAACATCTACAATCTATAATCATAACTTATACAAAACCTATAAAAATAGGCAGCGGAATAAGACAAGGTGATTCATTGAGCCCCATGCTCTTCAATTTGATCATGGATGAAATCATCAAAATCGTTAACAAAGGAACAGGATACAGAATGGGAAATAAAGAAATCAAAATAGTCTGTTACCAAGACGACGCAATATTGAGAGCCCAAGATGAAGATTGTCTGCAAAAACTGGTCCACAGATTTAACATAAGAGCAAAATAAGTTAATATGACAACCTCATCTCAAAAAACTAAAACAATAGTAGTCAGCAAAGAACCAACCAGATGTAAAATAGAAATTGATGGCATCAGTATTGAACAAGTAATTGAAATGCAATACACTGTCCAGCTTTGGGGACCTGGACAAAGAAGTGAGAAATCAAGTACAAAAAGCAAATAGACTGGAAGAATGCCTTAATAACACTATATGGCGAAACAGACACATTAACGCTGAGATTAAATCAAGAATTTATAAAGCCAGTGTAAGGCCAATAATGACATATGCCTCAGAAACAAGACCTAATACAGCCACAATGCAAAGACTACTGGAAACGGACGAGATGAAAGTACTGAGAAGAATTACAGGAAATAACCTGGGAGATCGAAAGAGTAGTGAAGGCATTAGAAGAAAATGTAACGTATATATAATAACAGATTGATTACGGCTGTCGCCGCTTCTCCGCCCCCCAATTTTCATCTTTTTCTGTCATATGCAGTTGCCTCTTCTAAGTCTCTTGTCGCCATTGATTCATCAATATCGTTGCGCCAACTTCTCCGTGGTCGTCCTCTCTTTCTTCTTTCAGGAGGGATCCATTTCAGTACTCTTCTAGGGCATCCGTACTCTGGCATTCTTTTAACATGTCCGAACCAGAATAATTGTTTTCTTTCTATGTTATCATTGATATTTCGCTCCATTTTCATTTCGTTTCTTATTTATTCGTTTCTAATTCTCTCCATTTCTGTCGTCATAAGTTTATTTCTATTTGCTTTGGTGACAACCCATACTTCCGAACCTTAAAGTGTAATAGTTTGGACTATAGTACCGGAAATGTGATGGTCATCCGCAAAGAAAAGTGTATATACTTAGCGTGTTTTCTTCCACCGTTATTCCCATGTTTCTATATTTTTTTACCCATTTCACTAAGGATCTGTCCAAATGGATTTTAAATAAGGTGGGTGACAGACAGCAGCCTTGTCTTAGTCCCTTTGTTGTTTGAAAAGGAGAGGTGATTTCTTGTCCCATATGTGGGACAAGTAGTGTCCCACAAAATGTAACGTACAGCATATAAATAAATGGACACAAAATAGAACAAAGAATGGAATATCCACATAAGCAGAATGGAGGAGACCCGTGTCGTCAAAATAGAAAGAGATAAGTCACCAATCGGTAGAAGAATTATCGGACGACCGCGCAAAAAATGAAGTGACAAGCTTTCATAGAGGTATAAATCCGCCAATGAACAAGCAGAATTGTTTATAAAGAGCAAGAAGAAGAAGAACAAGAGCTAACACTCGGTTTAGGTTGCCTAAATGGCGCATATATACGTGAAGGTCTGCGAAAAATAAAGAGGTATAAGAAACCAACTCCATTATATTGTAATCAATAGATTATTAAGAAACAGCATCCTGAGCCTAAAGGACTCAATACTCAATACTTATGTCTACTTACAAATATTGAATATATTTTTAAAATTTGAAGAAAACTCAAAATATCTCTGAAATTAATGAGTTCTAGTATAGAAAATATGTACTATATAAAAATGAAAAAGTATTATATCATCAACAAAATATTTTAAAAAAATATAGGATGATCTATTTATAAATATTGAGAAAATCGTAATTTTGTGTTGTAGTTCACCCTGTATACAAACTTTTGTCAATGATTTCAATTAAGCTTAATTTGAAAACTAAAACATATTGTTTACTTTATTATGTAAAATAAATCATTGTTTATGCATTACTTCCTTATATAATGGAGTTGATTTCATAGGTATTTCGAAATAAAAATGGTCATAACTTCATAACTTGTTAAATACTCTGTAAAGTACTGTAAAACCCAATACTATAAGAACAAAAATTATGAGAAGAGTACAAAATTAAAAAATATATATAGGGTGTCCCTTTTAAAAAATTATATGTTTGCTATACCACGTAGTTATTAATCACCCTGTATAATTCCAATTATGTTTCAAGTATGGAGAATATCACGGCATATATTTTCTAAATAAGTTTCTTGGATGTTCTATACCATAATGGAATTATGACTCACCCTGTATGCAATTTTGTAATTTTTGTGCATTTTTAGAAAAGGTATTAATAGCTTTAAAAAGAATCAACTTTTGAAGCAATTTTAACAATAATTTATCTATTAATTTTAAAAGCAAAAAAACAAAATTAATTGATTTTCTAGGCTTTTTCATTAAAATTATCAAATAGCAAACTTCCATTGTTTATATATACTGGTTAAAAGTAAAAAATGACGTTTAATATATTGCATATTTTGTTTATTGCATATTTTTATCAGCAAATTTATCAAAACCAGTTGTTAGATATCTGTATAAGAGTGTTTTGTAAAAATTGTTACTTCCCTGGTCAATTTAAATGATATATGGTATTTAAAAAATGAAAACAGATATAAAAAAACAAATTACGGAAGTAAATATAATATTAAAATAAACATAAGCATCCACATGGAGTACTAACGTTATTATGATAGATATTGTGAAATAAGATAAATTACTTTTTATAAGCAATAATGAACATTAAGACATTCTTATTCGTATAGACATTAGTCACCTGTATTGCATTAGTAACATTCCATGCTGCCTGATACTCATTGATTTTAGACACTGTTCTTCCTTCCACAAAATCGGACCCTTCAGAAAAATCAACAGATGACATTCTACTTTGTTGCCTTTGATATGCATTACTAAAATTGCTATCTTCTTGTTGACAGTTATTAATATCATTACTGAGGAACGGATTAGTTCCTTTCATATTCATATTACTCATCTCATGATGTTCGTCAACACCTCCATGATTGACTTGATTTTGATTAGGAACTTGGGCAAAATGGACCCTTTCTCTTTCCGATTCGGAAGGCTCGTCGGGTAATCTGTTAGACGGCAAAATTTGTCTTCGAAGCTGATTAGCTACGTTTACGGCAGCGGAGAGTGGAGGAAGACGGATTTGTCCTAGTCGGTTCATTTTTTATACGTGTGTGTGATACACTTGATTCTCCAGACGGCGGAAAGAAAATCAATATCTGGCCACTGTACACAAAATCTTATTTACAAATTTTATCACCCACTAAAATCACCGTGCGACTAAAACAATGAGTCATTGCCGTTCTCAAACGAAAATTCGACAGAAAGATAATTTAGTTGTGAGAATAAGAATGCTGGTCCATCGCAGCATCTCGATTACGTATTTGACATGGCAACAGATTTACAATAGGAACAGCGCAGCTGCGTGAGAAGTATCCCTTTGGAAGAAGGGGATGATAAATCGTCATTCCAGTAAAAATACACACAGGGTGATGTATAGAAAATTAAGATATATTTTATTGAAATATTCTCTTAGAAATTTGAAAACGTGTTAATTCAATATTAAGTTATAAAAATATTCTAAAGGTATACCAATACAGGGCGAGTCATAAATAATGCACCAATTTTCTTAGTTATAAAAATATATTTTCGTAAAAGTAAAAAAAGGTATATCTACTTGTTTGACTTTTAAAATAACTATTTTCGAGATTTTTTAACATTATTAAATCACTTACACAGATGATGCGCTACCGCCCGGCATTGTATTTTTCAATAAATTCTAATAAAATTTCTAATAAATATTAGACAAATAAAGAATTAAGGTATAGATGAAAAAGGCCAAGGAAAAGTGATTAACGGATCAATCTATAGAAATAGAAGAGTATGACAGAAAATAGGACAGGTTTAATATGCATAAAAAAATAAAAGAACCAACAAATACCAAAAAGCGAGCACACTATGAGATGACATCAAAGATAAACTAAGATTTTGACAAGAATACATAATGATACTATTCGACGATGATAGATATAGATCCAGATCAGATACCAACTGAGCTAATTAAATGCATTGATGAAGAAACACTGCATACAGTTTTAGATCTGTTCAAAGTATATACAACAGCAGTAATACCCGAAGATTGGTTGCTGTCCACGTTTGTAACACTACGAAAGTCAGTACGTGCGACAGAATGCTCCCAGTACAGAACAATTTCCTTAATAAGCCACACACTTAAGATTATTCTTAAAATATTACATAGAAGACAAAAAAATAGAAGAATATATAGATGACACCCAGTTTCGATTCAGATGAGGACTAAGAACGAGAGAGGCTTTGTTCGCTTTTAACGTTCTAGGGCAAAGACGACTAGATATGAACCAGGATCTCTTTGTCTGCTTTATAGATTATCAAAAGAGTTTTAATAAAGTACACCAGACATTCGTAAAACTGTTAAAAGAAAAGAATGTGGATTGTCGAGATATATGGGTTATTCTCAATCTGCACTGGAATCAAAAAGCAAAGGTTAGAATCGAAAATGTCAATACAGAAACTATAGATATCTAAAGAGGTATTAGACAGGGTTGCGTGCTGTCCCCATTATTATTAAGAAGAAAGAAGATATTAACATCGTCCTAGGAGATTTTAATGCTAAAATAGGAAGAGGGAAATTCCAAAATATCGTAGGAGAATACGGACTAGGAGAACGAAATGAAAGAGGAGACAGACTATTAGAGTTTTGCCAGCAACACAATATGATAGTAACAAACACTTGGTTTAAGTTACCTCAACGTAGGTTATACACCTGGACTTCCCCGCTACACACAAAAGAAAGAATAATAAGAAATCAAATAGATTATGTTTTAATCAACCAACGATTTCGTAACTCCATTACAAGTACAAAAACATATCCTAGTGCTGATGCAAATTCCGACCACAACCCTGTAGTAGCAAATATTCGCACAAGAATTAAAGTAATAAAAAATGCAAAGCCGAAGAACAAACCTAATATGGAACTACTAAAAGATGTACAGATTAAAGATAAAACCACTGTAAAACTAAATGAAAAACTCTCAGAAATAGACCGAACCCAAATCAATATCCAAAATATAAATACAACTTGGCAACAAATAAAATCCATCCTCGTCAATTCTGCAAGGGAAGAAATTCCAAATACACGATTAATGGCAAAAAAAGACTGGATGACACCAGCTATTCTAAAGATGATAGACGAAAGGAGGAAATACAAAAATAAGAACACAAGCGATTACAAACGATTAAATACAGAAATAAGAAGGAAAATAAAAGAATCAAAAGAGAAATGGCTCGAAGAAAAATGTAAAGAAATAGAAGAATTAGAACATAGACATGATTACTTTAATATGTACAAGAAGGTGAAAGAATTTTCATTCATCCGCAAAAAACAACATTGCCCACTGGTAAATAACAACGGAGAGTTAATTCATAACACCAAAGATAAAATAGAAGAATGGGAAAAATTTATACAACAGCTGTTCCGAGATGAAAGAATAGACATTACAATAAATAATGTTACTGAAAGCCCACCAATTCTAAAAGTCGAAGTGGAATATGCCATTAAACAATTAAAGACCAATAAAAGCCCTGGACCTGATGAAGTTTATCCTGAAATACTTAAATTGATCGAAAGTAATAACATTGATTTGTTAGTAATTTTGTTTAATACAATCTACGATACTGGGGAAATACCAGAGGAATGGTTAGAATCTATTTTTATTCCCATTCCAAAACAAGCTAACTCCAGGCGATGCGCAGATTTTAGATTAATAAGTCTTATGAGCCAAATGCTTAAAATTCTATTAAAAATACTTCACAATAGGGTATACAAAAGGTGTGAAAAAGAAGTTGGATACGATCAATTTGGATTCAGAGCCGGAATGGGGACCAGAGAGGCCTTGTTTTCATTACAAGTACTGCTGCAGAAGTGTTACGACCAACAAAAGGATGTCTTTCTATGTTTTGTAGACTTTGAAAAGGCATTTGATCGCGTAAACCATAATAAAATGTTAAATTCCTTGCAGAGCATCAACTTGGATAGTAAAGATCTCCGATTAATTAAGAACTTATATTGGAGGCAGAGTGCCAAGATTAGGATCGACGATCATACATCTAGAAATATTAGTATAAATAAAGGAGTAAGGCAAGGATGCATACTATCCCCTATGCTGTTCAATCTTTACTCGGAACTACTATTCAAGCAAGCCTTGGAAAACCTTTCCACAGGAATAAAAATTAATGGAGAACCAATATCTAGCATAAGATATGCAGATGACACTGTCCTACTGGCTGATACAGACACAAACTTACAGAGGGTTATAGACCACCTTAAGGATGCTTGTCGAGAGTTTGGAATGAAGATCAACGAAAAAAAAAACAAAAGTAATGGTGATCCAAAGAAAACAGAATATCCCCTTACCTATAAAAATAAATGGGAATATTTTAGAACAGGTAAACCAATACAAATACCTTGGCTGTTGGATTAATTGCAAGCTGGACCCAGAACAAGAAATTAAAGCGAGAATTGCTCAAGCTAGGGATAGTTTCTTTAAGATGCGCGTTCTATTCTGCGATACACATATAAATATTAAATTGAGATTAAAACTTGTAAAATGTTTTATCTGGTCTGTTCTTCTCTACGGAGTCGAAACATGGACTTTAAAAATAAAGAGCCTGAATAGAATCGAGGCATTTGAAATGTGGGTGTACCGTAGAATTTTAAAAATTCCTTGGACAGCACGAAAAACAAATGAAGAAGTACTAGCTAGACTCAATTTAGAAAAAGAACTATTGAGAACAGTCAAAAGAAGAAAAACCAGTTATTTAGGGCATTTGTTGCGCAACGAGAAATACTACATCCCTCAGTTGATAATAAAAGGCAAAATAGAAGGAAAGCGAGGAATTGGAAGAAAAAAATTGTCCTGGTTACGTAATATCAGAAACTGGACAGGACTTGGATTTGAGGAACTCTTAAGAACAGCTGAAGATAGACAAACGTTTGCCACCATAACCGCTAACCTCCATTGATGGAGACGGTACTTGAAGAAGAAGTACAGCGAAGCTATTTTAAGTAAGCAATATCAGAGGAACAACAGGGTACATCAATAAACGGAAAAATCTTGAACATTAGGCCACAATACCAGAGGTGCAAAATATGAGATGTTAAGGCCATTATGCAAGGTAAAATCGAGAGTAAAAGATCCATAGAAAGGCGAAGAATTTCCTGGCTAAGAAACCTAAAATTGTATAGTTACTGCTCAGAAGATTTTTTCAGAGCAGCTGCCAATAAGGTACGGATAACTGTGATGATAGCCAGCCTCCGATAGGAGAAGGAAGTACAAGAAGAAGAAGAATACATATTAGAATTGCTTAAAAAACATTTAAAATATTAAAATATGTGCTTCTATAAAAGGGCTTTACTCATAAAACATAGTATCGAAATGATACAGACTATTGCAAAACGTTTTCAACAAAGTTACCACCACCTCCCATCCATATCTTTAACGGTTTACTTAAAGACTATTTTACTTTAAAAAATGTTATGTTATAAGTTATTATTATTTAATATAAGGATTATTTATTATAAGGACAAGTCCCTAGTATGCCTAAAAACTAAGAAATTTCATTATTAACCTACTAGTAAATTACAAAATTACAAAAAAAAATAATAAAATGACCATTTTTGGTTTAAAAGAAAACCAATATTTTAACTATAATATAAAAGAGGCAAGTCTTTTTTAAATGAGTTGGTAGAGTGAGCAGAGACAATGTTATCATTAAGGTTATTATAACACTCAAAAACTCTATTTGGTAGAAAGTTCTGTCTTGATTGTGTAGAAAAGTTCTCTTTACTAAGTTTATACTGATAATCTCTGAGGATTTTATCTTGATTTATAGTAAACATTTCATCGAGATTTCCAAAATTAAATTTTAATATTTTAAATGTTGGAATTAAGTCTCCACATTGTCGGCAAAGTTCGAAAAAAGTTAGGTTTAGCTATACTGTCTTTCTGAATAAGAAGGTATTCTCGGTCCCAAGGAATTCGAGTGGATTTTCTTTGAAAGTTTTTCAAGAAAGGCTCGTCTCGAACCAAATCAGGATACCACGTTGGTCCTGCTTATTCAAGTATGATTCTTACGCAAAGAGTGTAAAATTTACAGAATGACTGCATTGAAACTCTCGAAAAATACATCCGAATAAGATTTAGTCTGGAGTTCGCACGTTTACAAATAGAAGTTATATGCTCGAACCAAGTTAAGCTGCTGTTTACGATAACACCAAGGTTGTTATACGAAAACACAGAATCTAATAGTTGCCCGATAACAAAGTACGGCACAAGAGGGTTATTTTTACCAATTCTAAGCACTACACATTTTTTCGCATTCAAGGGTAATAACCACTGGGAACATCAAGTAAAAATAGCGTCCAAATCCATGTGGAGAGTTAGTTGGTTTGTGATTGGATTGGCATATATTTTTGTGTCATCAGCGTAGCATATTTTACTTGAAACGTAATAAGGAATATCGCTGGTATATACCATAAAAAGCAGAGGTCCAAGGACAGAACCCTGAGATACTCCACTTTCCACTAACCTTGCCTATGTAAAAGATTAGACAATTCTAACTTTGTAATGTCGATCTGTTAGGAAATCATCTATCCAACAAAGTAAAGTACCGCGAACTCCGAAATGTTTTACCTTATGTAGAGGCCTGCATTTAGGAACATGGTCAAGGCTTTAGAGAAATCAACAAACGAAAAGAGAAAGAGAAACGAGAAAGATAAACAACGTTGACCTGCTTTAAACTGTCAAGACATGACGTCCAGTCGTTAACACAATGTAGGAGATTGGTTAGAGTAGAGCGACCAGAGACAAATCCATGTTGTTATTTTAGAATAACATGTTCCTGAAGAAAGAATTTGGTCATCTCCTCAAAAATAATGGCTTCCATGACTTTGCCAACTACTGACAGCCAGCTAATCGGACGATAATTGTTAGGGTCGAGTTTGTTGCTTTTTTTAAAAATAGGAGTGACTTTGCATGTTTTTAACAGTTTTGGTATTAAGCCATCTGAACCAGGTGAAGCAGCTGTGCGAAGTTTAATTAAGTATTGTTGGACATGATCCACTGTGAATTCAACTTGCTGTAAGGATGCGCCGACACGATTACAGTTAATAGCAAGTAGATGGCCATCATTCGATTCTTTAGTAAAAACCTATGAAAATGCTAAAGAGAAAGTTCCAGAAGATTCATTTTCAGAAGAGCATAAAGTCTGGTTAAGTTTTTGAAGTAGAGGGATGGAAACTTTAGACGCCAAGGAGGAACGTATGTATTTATAGACTTTTTTAACATTACCACTTTCAATAACATTTGTTTTAAAATTGTGTCTTTGAGATTTAAGAGATGTTTGTAATTTATTTGAAAATCTTCGATGGCTTTGGACATCACTGAGAGGTCCGGTGTGTTTAAATTTCTGCCATAGATGTCGTTTGTGATTAATTTGTTTTATTTCTGTTCGATTTATCCAGGGTTTAAAGTTGTTCTTATAAATCTTATGGAAGGTGGTATTTGTAAAAATTATATTGTGGACGATATCGAGAAATGCAGTCCACATTAATGAGGGGTCGTTTAAGTCTGCAAAAAATAAATGCCAGTCGATTTGAAAGAGTTCAGTGTTAACTTCAGAAAAGTCGGTAGTAGCATATGTTACAATAATATTTTTGCGGGGTAATATTTGATTGAACTGGATGTGAGCCGTTATAATTGCATGATCTGACTTTCTTATAGAAGAACTGACGTCGAGATATGAAATCAGCGTCATTAAAAAGCACGAGATCTAAAGTAGAAAGTTGATTATTAATTTTAAATCTTGTAGGTTATGTGATGAGTTGTATCAGCTTCGAATTCATAGTCTAAAAACAAATGCGATATTAAGTAATGTTCTACTGGTCGTTGGTAATCACTCTGACGAATTTTTTGCGGTTTTCAGCTACTCTTAATAAGTAAAAGTGTTTCATTCGGTCCACTGTCATATTTCGTTGGGCCAAGACGTCTTTATTTGTTCTATACCTTTCTTTCCTATGATCATTACAAATTTCACAAGATTCTAAGCAATTAAGTAGATTTAATGATTTGGACCATTCGGTGGTTTACGGCTCGTAATGGACCTCGGGGGCAGCGTGAGGACATGTCATCAGATGAGCTATATGTCATTGTATTTGTCCTCCTCCTCAGTTCTAATCCCTTTTGGGATGTGGTGACACCATCAAGCCTTTACAGTTTTTCCACGATTTCCCTCCATCCTTCTCTGTCCTGGGCTATTTGTTCGACTTTATGTAACCCTTGGTTAATCAATATTTTTGTTTGATTTACCCAACGGCTTGGAGATCTTCATCTAGGTCTATTTCCTTCAACTCTGCCCTTGACTATCAGTTTTTCATCGTACCTGTTCTTCTAGCAATGTGTCCAAAATACTGCAAATATCTTTGTTGTATTTGCTTAAGCAATCTATCCTTTACTTTAGAACACCGAGGCAGACCACCAGAAAGATGGATGGACGACTTAAGAAAAACAGTCGGAAATTGGATACAGAAGGCGCAAGATAGAGAACAGTGGAAGAACATGGAGGAGACCTATATCCAACAGTGGATGCAAGAGGTTGAGGAATGATGATGATGATAATGATGATGATCCTTTACTTTAAGTTGTTCTAATATCGATACGTTAGTGCGATGATCAATCCAGGATATTCTCAACATGCGGCGGTATACCCACATTTCAAAAGCGTCCAGTTTATTTTTATCCGCTTTCTTTAAGGTCCACGTTTCGGATGCTATGTGGCTACGAGAAAAATGAGCTCCCTTACCAACCTTAGTTTTGTGTGTATTGTTATACTAGAATTGTTAATAGTCAAACTTTTACGTATCTCTTTGTCACACTCTCCGTCATTTGTTATTAGGGACCCCAGGTATATAAAACTATCTACTACCTCAAAGCCCCCAATTTCTTTAATGTGTTGAAGATTATTCCGAGCTATGTCTACTATCTTGATCTTTGTCTTACTCTTATTTAGCTTTAGTCCATATGTTTTTTTTCCTCCAGACATCTCATTATGTCTTCCATTTTATTTTGATTTGCCGCGATTATTAAAGTGTCATCAGCATATCTCAAGTTATTGATTTTTTGACCTCCTACTGATATTCCGCCCTTCCATCCATCTAGTGCCTTTCGCATAATGTGTTCGCTGTAGATATTAAATAGAGTTTGCGAGATTATGCATTCCTGCCTGACATCTGCCTCTGTTCTGAAGTGATCGGAATGGGCGTTGTTTATTTTTACTGTGCACTTATTATTTTCATATAGACTTCTACTTAGTTGAATTAAGTGGTGGGGTATTTCCTTTTCCGCTTGTATAGACCATAGCTGCTGCCATTTGACTTTATCGAAGGCCTTTGTGTAATCCACAAAGCACATAAGCATAGGAGTATTGAATTCACGAGTTTTCTCGATTGGCTGTTTGACATTAAGGATGTGTTCTCTTGTGTCTTTTCCTGGGACAAATCCCGCTTGTTCTTCTGATATCTGAGGCAATAGAAAAGCTGTTAGTCTTTTTTCAGTCTCTTTTAAAACTTCTGCGGTGATCTAGTCTGCGCCAGGAGATTTTCTATTTTTTTAACTTTTTGATTGCTTTTTTCTACCTCTGACTTTAGAATGTTTAGTTATCTCTCTGCAGTGAACTCATCGTGATTTGCATTCTGGGGATCATCTGCATATAGACTTTGACAATATTTTCTCCATACATCAACAATCCCTTTTTCATCATTTTTAATATATTGGTTTTGTTTTGATCCATTATGTGTGATTGGGTTAAATTCCCTGGATGGATATCGGACTTTGTTATATAGTTCATGTGATTCATACCGGTTTGCATGTCTCTCTAGTTCTTCGCATTCTTCATTTATATGTTTATTTTTATCATCCTTACATGCTCTTTTAATTTCTCTATTTAATCTTGCTAATTCGTTTTTATTGCTGTGTACATTGAACTCGTACCTATATAAAATTTCATAAATATCGTCTTTTCCGTTTCAAAGATATTTACTTGGTTCCATGCTCAACCCTGTATCTATATATTTTGTATGTTCCTATTTCTCCTAATTTAACTCGTAAATATATTTTTATTCCTTATAAAGTGCTACTCACTTTATCAAGAATCAAATTAATAGAATTTTCAAACAAGATAAGTAATTGTTTTTCTGTTTAGTATATAAGATATCAATAATCTATAGAATAAGAATAAAAGAAAAGTAATCTTTGTTTTAGCAGCCCTACTATAAAGCTTCCAATGGCCATCCTTGCCCACATACTATTATGAATGATTTTAATAGAAGCTTTGTTCGGTTCTTCAAGAATCCAGTTCCGAATCGTCGGCGTCGGAGTAGGCCAAATCAAGAATGAGTAGCCGATTCGAATTTACTTCGAATCAATTATTTGGATAACTGTATGGGGCCGCTGCATTGACGGTTCCTTGCGAACCAAAACAAGCCAACAAAAAATGTCTTCTGACTCTTCTGGCTGAATGTAGTCACAAAACTTACTCCTGACCAGGTATGTTCGGCCATCTTGCGACTGAATTGCCGAAATTAATAATAATAACAATGATGAAACGTAAATATTACTAAACGTAAAAATAGTGAATCATCTCATTGATAATTATTCAGAAAATAAGTGTGCATTTTAAAATTGGTTATTGGCTATGTAGTTTGTTTTTGTGATCGTAAGATATGTGTAGTCGGTTTTATTTCCTTATATTGGACTGACAACATAATTACAAACAGGTAATTGTGCTTTTATGATAAATAAAGTATTCATTCATTTGTACTAATTTATTAAGGTTAATATTATTTTAAATGTAAGTATAATTCATTAGGTGCAGCAGTCTTTTTTTTATTTACTGGCACAAAATAAGTACTTTGAGTAATGAATTATTTAAGAACTTGCAATTCGAATGCAATTAACTTTTTGTCGATAACATGTTTTTAATCACAAATATTTACATTGCCCTAAGATACTAATGTTTCTTAAAACTTAAAAAGAGATCTTCCTTGGGTGGTTCATAAAAAGGTTAGAGAGCTACGACCTCTTTTTTAATAGTTGTTCGAAATTGCTACAAACATCGTCATTTCTAAAATAGGAATGTTGACAACAAATTATTTACATAATTAATTAAAGAAAATGAAAATAATGATACAGTAATTCATGGTTATAGTATTGTAAACCTTATACACATATGTTTTCTATTAATTTTTTGTAATTGGTATCAATTATTTATGGAAATACCTATATAATATGCAAATTATATCCCTAAGAAGAAAATATTTGAGTATAGTGTATTATTATATGAAAAAGAATAGATATATAAGCAAAAGCATTAATAACAGAAAGGTTCAAATTGTTAAGCAAAACCATAATTAAGATATCCAATCATCTTTCTGGTCAATGTGGTAAAAAAGAAGTGATTCTAATTATTAAAACTCTCATATAAGTAAACTAATGTCATATTATTAATGTATTTTTGTTAGTTTTGTAAGAAATTCTGGAATGGCATCAAAAACTAAATCAGAAAAATAAATTAATAAATAGTTTTACATAATTCATAATGTTTGGTAATCATGCAAGAGAATACACTAATATGTAAAGACAATAATTAAAGAATAAAAGCAAATTGGATGTATGAATTTGTTTGTTTGAGTATGAGTTTGTGATAAAACTACAAACATGATTTTGACTACCTATGAATATGCTAAACCTCCCTACTACTCGAACAACTACTTTGTAGCACAAATGAGGAAGAAGAGCAACTGCCAAATAATGAATTATTTAATGTTAATACAATTTATGGACTATATTAACATAAAAAAATGTCATCTTACTCATCAACTCATTGATTTTGAACTAAAGAAGTTTGACAATACATTCAATCAAAATTTAAACTACAAAAACAATTATAAAAAAGGCTAAACAGCTGGTATCTAGCATTTCATTATCAATCTTTATTGATGTGGAACACTAAAAGAATGTGCTATATAACAATATTTTGAATTACTTTGAAGATAGGTTCTGTCCAGAACAACATGGTTTTTTACCAGGGAAGTCCACTGTGTCAAATTTTTACGTTTTTACAAGTTTTGCAGCAGGGGCCATAAATAATAAAACTCAGCTGGATGTCATTTTTACTGACTGTGCCAAAGCTTTTGATAAGATTGATCACTCTATACTTATTGAAAAGCTAAGCAAATTTGATTTTGATTCGGAAGCATGTATGTTTATGAGGTTTATCTAAGCAATTTATGTCGACATTAGGTATACCACAAGGTAGCAACTTGGGTCCTCTTCTGTTCGTTATATTTATTAACAATTTACCTCACTGTGTGAAGTTTTCGACAAGCCTTCTATTTGCAAATGCTTTTAAGATTTTTCAACAAATTTCAACTCTGCAGAACTCTGAGATGCTGCAATGTGATCTGGAACTCAGTAAGTCAATGGTTCAATGATAACAAAATGTTTATAAACACTTCTAAATGTCATGTTTTTACTATCATTCGAAAAACACTTACTATGGAGAACCAATACAAACTTTCTAGCACTATACTTCGAAGAAAGAACACTTGTAAAGATCTTGGAGTAATGTTCCAGCAAAATTTGAAATTTAATGAACATTATCAGATCATCATTGGAAAGGCATGGCTTGGCTTCATAATTCAAAATTTTTAAGATTTGAAACTCTAATAGCATTATACAATGCACTGGTAAAACCTCACTCGGAGTATGCCTCTATTATATGGGCACCTCAAGCCGAATTCAATGTTGATCTGATTGAAAAGGTTCAAAAACGATTTTTGAGGTTTCTTTATATCAAAAAGTTTGGTATCTATCCATACATGATTTCCTATAATGCTATGTTAACTTGTTTTAAAGTTCAGCGACTAGATAACAGAAGAAATTTTCATTCAGCCCTTTTTATTTACTATGTTTATATGTTATTTAAATCACATTAAATATAAAGATTGCTTTTTTATAAATAATATTAATTTTAATGTTCCAAAAATACATCTAAGAATTAATAACAAACAACTGTTCTCAGCTAATAAGACTGATTGTTCACCATAAATAAGATGTTAGAAGAATGTAACCAAGTGATAGTTAACTGTGATATAGACTTTTTAAATTCTTCTGTCAAACAAATATAAGTTGCTTTTGAAACAATTTTCTAGTCTGCAAAAGTTTGGTCTGCAAATTTTGTCTAGGTTTAGTTTTTAATATATATACTACTCTCCAAAATTAACGCACCACCTCAAATGAACCATGATTTTGAAACTATATTTCTCCTGAGCCCTTAGTTGGATTTCGATGATTTTTGATTTACATTGTAGATACATTTCTCATATAATTACTTTATTAATGTTTTTTGAGAAATGTTAACATGTTATGTTTTTTGAGAAATGTTAACATGTTACCTATATACGGGATGTAAAAATAAAGTGGTGTTTTTTCATCTAATTTTGCAACACCCTGTAGAATGTATTAGAAACAAATGCTACATCTTATTAATATTTCGGTATAGCTTTGTCCTTTCTCAATATTTTCGTAAAAAAATTATCTCGATATCTCTATTATCAAAAAAGAAAAGTATGTTCAAAGCATTACGTGATTTTCTTCTCTCCAAAATTAACGCACCACCTCAACTCTACCATAAATTTTAAACCATTTTTCTTTTGAATCTTTAATTGGATTTCAATGACTTTTTTTGCATCATATATCTATTTCTAAATAATTACTGTATTAATGTTTTCTGGGAAGTGTCAACGTTTTACCCATATACGGGGTGTAAAAATAAAGTTTTTTTCATCTTATTTTGCACACTTTGTGGAATTTATTAAAAGCAAACACTATATCTTATTAATATTTCCAAATAGATTTATTCTCAAAAAAGAAAAGTATGTTCAAAGCACAATGTGATTTTATTAAATTGTGGTAAGTTTTCGTGAAATAGGCTTGAGGTTAAGAGTATCTCATACTACAATATCACGAGTCATTCAACGTTTTCGAGAACCAAACGACCATACGCGACGACGTGGACAAGGAATAGGAAGACTCACAACACCACGCTTTCACAACGCCAGATCAGTTTTTGTGCTATAAGAGAACGTTTGAATAAGAGAATCAAGTGGCAAATGTTTATAATATTCAAATTAGTAGAAACACTACACAAAGGTGAACAAGTGCTGAACAAGATCTGCATGTAAGGATATTAGTCAAAGCATCAGCTTTAATGTAAATCATCAAAGAAGTAGATTTTAATTTGCCAGAGAGTACCTTGACTGGAATGTTGATGACTGGAAGCATGTGTTGTTCAGTGATGAATCGAGGCATTGCTTCCATAGTTCAGATAGACGTGTGACAGTTATTTAACGGCCACGAGAACGCTACGTACAGTGCAACATACAACCTATTACTTGATTCAATGGAGGATCTGTAATGGTTATGGAGGAATATCTCTTTACGAAGAGGTTCCTTAGCAAGTGAAAGGTATATTACAGACATTTTGTCCAACCATGTAGTTTCATTTGCTCCTTACATAGGAAAAAATTCATTCTAACGCACAACCATATGTTGCATGTTTGGTTCGTGATTAATAGGACGAAGTTGAAATACAAACCATGAACTTTCCACCCTTCAGCCCTAATCTAAATCCCATAGAGAATTTGTGGGGTATTATTGATCGCCAACTCCAGAGCCGACAAGAAGAAAGTAGAAGTTATGGTGAAATAAGTTTGGGATGCAATTGATCAAGACCAAATACGCCGCTGGATCGTATGCCTCGTCGCTGTGAAGAAGTAGCTAGATGTAGAGACATAAATATTCTTTGTTTTTGGGAGAGGGAATTGTTAAAGATTATTTGATTTATGTTTTTTAGTCTTTAGTTGTATTAAATGTCAATAAAGTTTATGTTAGTGTTGTTTTCTTTGTTTTAAATGTTAAAATAAAAATTTGTTACATTTAAAGTGTATAATCTTTCATAATAGAGATATCGAGATATTTTTTTTACAAAACTCTTAAGAAAGGATAAAACTATCATATAATATTAATAAAATGTACCGTTTCTTTATAATAAATTCCACTGGGTGTTTCAAAATAGGATGAAATAATACAACTTTATTTTTACCAACTTTATTTTTGGTGTCTTTAATTTTTATTATTTTTTAAACACCCAGTGTTGGTTTTAGACTTTTTAAGCCTCAGTAATATCCCATATATTAAAAAAAGATGATATAAAATAAAAAAAATAAATAAAAAAATTGTAATACTATAAAAAAAAGAAAGGAAAAAATAAAAAAATCACCACCAAAGAAAACAGTTCAAAATATGATAATGTATAACAGTAATGAAAAAAACAACCAATTATATCTTCTTGTTCTTTGTCAACCATTTTCCATCCACTCCTGAATGTTGGTCTCTCCCAATTGCTTCCATCTTTCTCTATATTGCGCCAATCTAATCCACTGTTTGCCTGCCACTGCTCTTATGTCATCTACCCATCTTTTTTGAGGTCTTCCCATGCTTCTTGTTGTCTTCCTTGGTCTCCATTCTAGAATTTTCCGTGTCCACCTGTTGTCATTATATCGGGCTACATGACCTGCCCAGCGCCATTTCATTTTTGTAATTTCTTCCACAATATCCCTAATCTTCGTTCTACGTCTTATCTCGGTGTTTTTAATCTTGTCTCTTAGTGATATTCCAAGCATGATTCGTTCCATTGCTCTTTGCGTTGTTTCTA